GAGAGAGAGAGAGAGAGAGAGAATGTGAGTGAGTGAAATATGATAGATAGATATGTACACATGTACAAGTAGCAACTTAATCATATACAGGTACATGTACATGTACATGCATTCATGCAATCACCAAAATATTTTTAAAATTATTTCATACATCATCATCATCATTAAATCCTCATTACACACTGATTAATGAGATAATTTATTGCATTACACACAACTATGTACTACATGTTACACATCCTGTACAATAAATACTGCATCCATTAATTACCTTCTTCAGAGACTATCGACTTGATCTGAGACGAGTTGACAGGGTCCCACAATATGCAGTGACCGTCAGCCGAAGCTGAGGCAAGTAAACCGTTCGACTGGTTGAAAACCAGACCCCATATTGCATCAGTGTGACCTTCTAATACTCCTTTCTGTATATCAAGATCTATAAATATATACAATAAAATATAAGTACATACATGTACATGTATACTAGAAGGATGATTTTAAAACTGATTTAGAAACTGACCGTATATATCAAAAGGGTCGCTGAGATCATTTGGCGTCTGCCACATGCGAAGCTGTCCATCAGCAGAGCCACTATAGACTACCTCACCATCAGAACTGACAGCAAGACTGAGGACAGGACCAGTGTGACCTCTGAATGTAAAGGCTGGCTCAACATCTATGATAGCTGACCTAGAGGAGTGAAAATACATACGTATATACATGTATACATGTATATGCATTAATACAAGTGTAAATGTAGTATACAAGATAACATTAAATATACATGTAGGAGAGAGAGAGAGTCAGAGAGAGACAGAGAGTCAGAGAGGAAATAGAATATACAGTAGAGCACATGTAAAGCAAATAAGAATACAAGACAAGGAGAATGTTAGCTCTACTTCTTTTGAGATGATTTGGGAATGCTCCATAGTTTAATGGTAGCATCCTCACTGCCAGTGACCAACATATCGTCCATTGGATGGAACTGGACACAAGTCACAGCATCGTAATGATTCCTCATTGTATACTTGTGCTCCCAACGCTTGGAACTACCACTAGTTGATGGATTCTGAAAGAAAAAAAGAGAGAGAAAAGAAGCAATCAAATTAACTGACATATGTATTACATGTAGTACATACCATAATAAAGTCAGAAGGATTAGCAATTGATACTAGTTCACCAATGCCCAGTGATACTTCTGGTCTCTCATCAGGTATACGATGAGGACTAACTCTAACTCCTTCAAGATCATGATGCTAAACACAAACACAAATACACATGTAAACCACACTGCACATACAACATACATGTACATTAAACATGATATACACAAAGGTACATGTACTACATTATACATACCCCTCTCACTGGCATCCCCATTAGACCCATTACTGATGACATCTCCTCAGCAGGTTGATTAGTATTAGCGTATTGCTGCAACTGTCTTAACTGCTCACGTGGTGGGCCTTTAAAATACATGTAAATGTATATGTACACATGTATATGTATTATGCTTACGTGATGATATGTTTTTGGATTTATTTGATCGTTTGTATTCCTGATATCTCTCAACTTGTCTTTTAAACTCCCACTCATTGTCTTCTAAAAAAACATAAAAATAATTAAATTCAATTACATGTACATGTATACTAAAATTAACTTTATATACATTGATCAAGTAAGGAGAGAGAGAGAGAGAGGGAGGGGTGGGGGAGATTAAAGAGAAAGATATCAATATAGAGTGAACAGCCAGCTGCCAGCCAGCCATACAAATTTCAAGATGTTGCCAATAAAGTTCGTTAACACAGTGACACTTTAAACAGGAAAAACATACGCAACACTGCATAACGAGACTGTGCTAAGTTCTATTTATACTGAATGCAGTACATGTACAACTATACATCTAAAACCTTATCATGCATACATGTACATGTACATGTATATAAACATATACATGTACATGTACATGTACATGTACATGTACATCCCCATGCTACATGTATATGCCAAATTTGTAAATGAGGTTCAAAATAATATTAGTACATGTCCCTTTACTGTAGGCATTACTGTATTAGGTTAGGGGATTATTAACCATATATGTATTATATCATACAACTGAATGATGCACATAACACTTGCATAAACAGTCAATGCATAGATCTGACACCTGTGTACATACATGTACATGTACAAAATCAATGAAGACTTCAATGATACATGTGTGTATGCAGGTGTATAACAGCTAAAGTTTATAACTGTTGCATTATGAATGAATGAGCCGTTTTCCTTCATTATTGAGCCAATAGACAAATAAACATAATTGAGGAATACATTACATGCACTATACATGTACATGTATATAATAACATGAAAAGTACACATGTACATGTACATTAATGAGTATAGTTTACCTTCACCAATAGGTAGGTCAGGAGGATTATCCGACTTTGAGGAGTACCTGTCCTCATATACAAAGTCTCCGTCCATTATGGCACCTTTGTCCAGCCCTGCTGGCTCTGTGGTGTTCTCTAATCCTTGGAAAAGGTCCTACGAGGAAACCACACCCACAATGAGACACTCACGAGCAGTGAAGCGTACCTTAGTGGCCACTTGTTGCCATTCGGTTTCTTCGTCTTCATCGTCGCTGTCTTCGTTGCTCAAGAAATCAAACGTGTTTTGAACCTGTTTCACAGCATCATCTTCACTTTCAGCTACAAAAAGGAGTAACAATAGGTACAGTGAAAGCAGTTAGCATTGAGAGGTGTAGACATCCAATTGTATGCAAAAGACTTGTAGAAAATATGAAAAAAGGATATATGGAAAATACCCGGTACACATACATGTAGCTTAATACAATGCAATTTCTTTCTTTCTCTCTCTCTCTCTCTCTCTCTGATACCTTCAGTATCTCTTCTTCCTCCTATCTGTTCTTGCATGTCAGTACCATTAGGTACTATGTCACTACCACCACCTTATACAGCATACACACATTTAATAACTATTACTTAATAACTATTACTAACCAGTGCTAGACTCTGGTGGGTGTGGTGGCTTAGGAGAATAAGTCTCAGAAGGCTACAAAAATAATCATACATGTACATGTACACATCATATGCTTACTGCTTCCACAGCAGGTGGTGGTAGAGGTGGTTCATTCTGATTGGTCGAACTGCTCATTAGTGTCCGATATAAGTTAAGTCGGGCTACCCTAGCTTCAAGGACATTGTCAGGAAAACCAACTTCACGAAGATAACTACGTGTACAGGAAAATAATATTTTATTGCATGGTTCCTCCTCTCATTTATTAGGTCTATTTTTACCACTTCCTCCTTGACTTCCTCTCACCTTTCTCTCCCTCTGTCTCCACCCTCCCTCCCTCCCTCCCTTCCTCTCTCTCTCCCTTACTCTCTTAGTATCTGTCTGCTCTCCTTCTGGTTGACTAGAGAAGGAAGACTGCTTTCCTCTGTCACTAAAGAATGTTAACAGACCCAATGGACCATAAAATAAACACAAAAATGTACTAGTACAAGAGACTACAATGTGCGCACCACAAAATATACAAACACACACACACACACACACACACACACATACACAAATACACACACACACACACACACAATACATATAAACTTATATATGTGCATAATACAATACACATACACACATAAAGATAATGCATGTACATGTACGTACCAGGATTCGTCTCTGTATCTAACTGAGGCGGCTTGAGAGAAAGACCGGAATCAGTACCATGAGTTAGTTTATATACTTTATTGCTAATATTAAGAGAGAGAGAGGGGGGGGGGTCATTGGCATTTTAATAAAAGTTAAAGAAATTACGAATACACAAAAAATACTTGGATTTCTTTTAAATAGGTAGCACATTAAGATTACAATTTTAAACAAAATTTAAAAAATTTAAAATTACGCCTACAGGCAATAATGAGAGAGAGAGGGGGGGAGGAGGAACATTACCGTTCTTGTTTGAGTGCAAACTCCAGCATCTTTATTCTTCTCACAAGGTCACGCATTAGATTATCGTGGCCTTTTCTTTCGCCTTGAAGGAAAGCTATTTTACCCTAATGAAGAAAAGGAAAAGCCAGAAAGAGGGAGAGAGTTTAAGCCAAATTAGGTACTTAGAATTAATATGAGAGTCTTTTTACTTGCAACTCAGCACGTTCCACTTCCCAGCTGGCCCTCTCTCTCTCAAACCGCCCAAACTCTTGTTTTATGAACTGTAGAACTCCAGGTACCGAGTACCCCGCCTGTGGCTGACCGGGGTCGCTAGGAATAGGACCAGAGGGACCGTTGGGGCCCATCATGAAAGGCCTTGTGACAGGAGCGGCTTCTTCAATCGACATTACGTTGCTACCTATCTATTTCTTGCCCTCTCTATCTTTGAGGTTGCAGTTGATGAAGTTTATTAACAACAATATACTAGCACATTTTAGTCACGTGATGACTGGGTGTGGTCATTGTAAAACTGGGTGTGGTTTTAACAGCTGAGGTTGTAAATTTATGCAAAAAGCAGACCAGCAGACAAAGACTTCTTGCAAGGACCAAGGATGTCTGCTTCAAACTGCTTCTCTTATCAGTCGTGCCCGTACTACAACTGGGTGAGTGAGTTGATACAGTGTGAGCTCATCACTCTCTCTTTTTCAATAGTCTGTATGCCTGAATGTCGATACCTCAAGAGTGTACAATGATGTTAGTGCAGCCTGGGTCCTCATTGCAGCCATGATCGTGTTCTTTATGGTAAGACCTCCTCCGCTAAGACTTGTCTCTTCTTTGTATTTGGACATTATCTTTGTTTACTTATTCTCTCTTGTTAATATTTTCAATAAACAGTTTATCCTTATGTTTTGTTTTATTTTAGAAAGCAGGCTTCATGCTAGTTGAGCTATCATTTGCTCATGATCTGAGAGAGCAGCGTCACGTTGTGATAATCGTGAGTTGTTGTTAGTGGTTGACTAGTCCAGTAGAATATGCATGAAATACCTCCTTATACATCAAGAGTTTTATGAGTAACTTCTTCAATAAGGAATAATAATAATAATAATAATAATAATAATAATAATAATAATAAAAATAGAGTACAATTTACATTCCTCCATGATGTACTGAAATATTAGTATATAACATTATTAGTATATGAAATATTATTAGTATAACAAACACAACAGCTGTGTTAGCCTGTGTATGTTATCATAAAACTTATCTTTCGATGTAGAAATACATAGATGCATGTGCGAGTGCGTTTGGGTTCTTTCTGATCGGATTTGGAGCCATAGCGAGATATACTTCGCCTCAAGGTCTTCACGTACAGTTTTTTCAAATATCAGACCCTGTTCTCTGGTTTTTCAAGGTATAGGCGATTTTATACTAATGTTAAAACTTCTCTTTTTTAGTTTACTTTTGCTAGTAACACTGCTACTATTATTGGGGGCTGTCTAGTAACTAATCGTTACAAGCTACGCCTTCCAGCTGCCTTTATCAGTGCCTTTGTCATTAGTGTAAGTTTCAACTCTTATTTACATGCGATAGATGGAATCATAGCAGCATAGAATATCATGTTTACTTTATTATTCTTATCTCTCTTATCAAGGAATTTGTGTTTGCTTTATTTATACTCATTAGGGTATCATTCATCCACTGATAACTTTCCTTATATGGTCTGATCACTGCAAAACGCTTTCACCATATCGCTTCTGTCAAGATGGTCAGGATACTGCTACTCAAGATCAATGTCCATTTAGTTGCAATAGTACATCACTAACCCTTGGCAATAAGATGTATGTGCTTGATTTTGCTGGTGGTGGGGCTGTACATTTAGTTGGTAAGTAGAATTACTATACATAGCCTGATACAGAGCCTTTTTGTTGTTGAAAGTCATAAGTTTGAAATGCTCGTAACTCTAAAATTTCTTGTCGGAATTGCCTCAAAATTTCTATGTAGCATAAGGACATTATTATGTACCAGAAAATCTAATAAAAATTAGGGGTCATTTTGGAGCCATTTTTTGGAAAAACCATGGGCTATAGTACAGGGAATTTTTCAGATTTTGCCCCATTTCTTCAAATGACCATAACTCAAAAATTTAAGTTGGAATCAGCTCAAACTTTTTATATAGCATAAGGACATCAATATGTATCAGAAAATGTAATAAAAATTTGGGGTAATTTCGGAGCCATTTTAAATGTGGTCATAACTTAAAATTTGAGCTATATACTATTAGTACTATTGTAGGAGGTGTGGCAAGTCTTGTTATTTGTCTGTTGGTGAAACTACAGCACTGGAGGGATAAAAGGACTAAAAAAGCACCAGATTCATCAGTGTGTAACAATAATTAAAATAATTATGATAATATTAATGTCATCTTAAATTTTAAAGGCTGAATCATCATATGCAGAAATTGGAGAAACTCCGCAACCAAAGTAATATATGAACTTATTGATGATACTGTTGACATTATAAGTACAGGAATTTCATTGAGTGGATGTATCCTGCTAATGGAGGCTCAGAGAGAGTTGGAGAGGCTGCTTTGGGTGTCATTATACTTTGGTTCTGCTGGTTAGTGATTGCACTATTCATATATGGAAAACTAGCACCTTTTGCCATGCTTACAATCAATTGTCCCATACTTTGATCCCTTGCTATTATGAATGCTGTTTTAGGTGTTTTTACTCTGTTTGTATAGGTTTGCCTTTAATTGTGGCTCAACTAACAGCTTGCAGTGTAAGTATGCATAGTCATTGTGAATACCATTTTATGACATTTTTGCAGCATCTAATCCAGGAGCAGCTTACTCAAGAGAGTACAATATAATACCATTCCATGGTGTGCCATCCATCATTGCTCTTAACATGATACTAGCAACTGCCACTGGAGGGATTGTGGCTGTTTCTATTGCAACATGGGCTCAAGTTAGCATTATGCATAATAGTTGTATAATTTGGAGAGATACTATCATTAATTTGCTAATGCTATATTGCAAGAATAGATAATCTTAGCTATTGTAATAGCAAGTATAATATTTGCTTTTTTTAAAACTGTTACAACTATTAATTTACATCATTGGTTACTATTATTATACTGAAATTATTATTGTATTTTTTCTAGCTTTACTTTAGAACTGTTTCAGTCAATGCAAACGAGATAGCCAATGGCATACTTGCATCACTAGTTGCTATCACTGCTGGATGTCCTTTTGTGGATTACTGGGGTGCTTGTTTGATTGGATGTGAGTTGTGTCCTCATTGTTTTGTTGCAAGTTTCCCTTTAATGTCGGAGTTGATGTTCTTGTTGAGCATCGCTTGCGAAGGTTTTTAAGTCGCGTCGTAGCCGATACGATTGTAGATAGACTGATAATTGGTGTCAGTGGTTCTACTGGTGAGGCCCGGCATCCAACAATAGTATCAACCCAGTCGGCATCTATTGGGACTTGCCTGTTATTTCTTAAATAAATGTCCTCATTGTGTTTCTTGTGTGCAGTCTTTGCCAGCAGTTTGGCAATTATGATCCCACTAGACGGGTGCTGTGGTGTTACTATGCCTGTTGTTCTTATAGGCGGAAGTGTTTTTTCTTTATTGCTTCTTATGCTGTCCTCGATTATGCGGTTTATCGTAGGCCTTCTTGCTATGATTCTTGCAAAGTCCAGCCAGTGGTGGCGTGGTAGTGCTCCTTCATTGTGAAGGTACTCAAAGCAGTCCATTTTATTATGGATATAGGCTGAGGTGAGAGCTGTGTGACCTTGATGATTACGAGTGTTTAAACTAACTCCATTTCTTTTCATTTTCTGTACAAGCATCTTGAGTACTTCTAGCCTGCCACAGATAGCACTTATGTGAAGACAAGTATTTCCTTCTTTGTGATCTCCTCTAGTCAAGTTACTGTCATCTGATTTCAGTAAGAGACTCAATGGTTTTTCTAGTCCCAGCCAGGAAGCATAGTACAGTGCACTGCGTCCATGCTTATCAGTCAGGCCTGGTGTAGCCCCTACCTGGAGTAGAGCCTCAATGACATCATTTCTCTTCTTTTCATCGCTTATGTAACAAGCTAGCATCAGTGGACGCAGGTAGTCAGGGCCACACGGCCCATTTGGATGGCAACCTCTGCTTATCAAAAACTTAATTTTTCTAACAGAGCCTGAGGCAATAGCTCGCTGGAGGACTCTTGTTTCAAAGAAAGTATATTCTGGCAGTGCCTCCATTAAATTTGATCCTCTTCCTTTCGAAGTGTGACTGTTAGCGCCTTCTAATGTGCATTTTTGTCTATTTTGCAGTTGTTGCTGTTATCCTCTACCATGTTGGCTGCTACATTGAGTATAAGCTTGGGATTGAGGACACTGCAAGAGTTGTACCAGTTCATGGAGTCTGGTATGTTTCTTAAAATAGAAACTAAGACATTTGTTAATAATTATTATCAATAGCGGCCTTTGGAGTCTTCTTGCTGTTGGACTGCTTGTTGCTTCTGAAAACTCTGAGTGCAATCTTCATTCGACATTTGAAGGACTCTGCTATTGTGAATTGCGCCTGCCAACTCTAGTAAGCAGCAGTAATATAAAATATACACATTATCTGATGCTATTTATTATCCTTTTTATAGTCGTATTTTGAGAGGCTCCTGTTTCAGATTGTAGGTGCTATCATGATGATTGGTATTACTGGAATCATGACAGTCGTTGTCTATGGATTATTGTACATCACTCCAATTCAACCATTTGTTAAAGCTTTTTCAAGGTATTTGGAACTTTTAATACACAAAAAAGTACCCTTGGCATAATCTTAATGATAATCATAATTGCAGGTTGTTGTGCTTGAACAGCAAAGGCCCATTGATGTTTAGAGGCAACTGGTTACTGACTTCACCAGTAGAGGATCAGATGCTGTGGGGAATGATGCATCATCTTGCAACACCACTGAGCACTCCACTGCCATCTAAAAGGAATCAAGTATTACGATATAAACAAACAATAATTTTATTATTAATTTTTATGTGTTTGTGATTGTAGGAGGAGTTGGAAGAATCTGAATATCTGGAGGTATTTTAAATATGAAAATTGCTTCATGCTTTGCAATTCTTTATTTGTATTTTATAGTCAAAAGAGCACTGCGGCTCATTACTACGATCGAGAACTCATGCTGAATTAATAATCAATACTTCAAGTTCAACAGGAGTACAGAGCACAGATCTCTCAACGCCACTACTTAAAAACAACAGTGGAACAGAATAGCCTATTTTAATTAACGAGCTGCATGTTCAAGTGTAGCAATTTAGATCTATTTTGGGTGCATGCAGCATGTGTGTGTGTGTGTGTGTGTGTGTGTGTGTGTGTGTGTGTGTGTGTGTGTGTGTATTTTTAAATCACAGTTATGATTGAAGTTTTCACATCTGATGAAATGATATGATATGACTATAGTGGGCTAGGCTGAAACTGTTTGGCTTCCATTCATTGATTCTGATCTGAAATAGTGAAATTCTGAATTGATTGAATGATTGATTGTCAGGTGCCTCATTATCAGAAATGGCAGATGATAGTCTGAGTTCTTTATTTTCTGAGCCAGAGAACCAGTCCTCAGAGTCCTGGTGCTTTGATCATAGCGATTGCTACATAAAAATAGTAAGTAGATTCACATAAAAGAGCTAATTCTCACTGCACCTAGTTTCCATGCAATCAGACGCATCCACTGTATAGGTACAACGATACCAGCTCCGCCTGGGTCCTCATTGCTTCCATTATTGTCTTCTTCA